CATGTTGCTGTTCATATTTTGAAAAAAAAGTATAATTAATTTCTTTACAAACATTGCTATGGACAATTATTTTACGTCTATACCTCTCGCTAATGACATGTCAAAAATCATAACTGACCATACTGAGTACATACATAGTAGGAACTCTACATAACAATAAAAGGGAGATACCGCCATCTTTTCTACCCAATAGAAAGAAAGAAATGTTTTCATCACAATTCGCCTTTGCTGAAAAGACAACCTTTACACACAACCAAAGAATACCAACCTTTACATCAAAACGTTCAAAATCGTATTGGTTTCGACTGTCTATTCAACAGCAACAATAGATGAACAAAGTAAAAAGCGGGAGATTATCCTGTTTTACAATTCTACGAAAGAGGCAGTTGATACCTTCGATCAAATGGTGCATAATTATACAGTTGCGCGAAAAACTAAAGGATAGCCATTAAGATTTTTATTTAGAATGCTTGATCAGGCTGGGATTAATGCTTGGATAATTTTTAACTTATCGACTAAACCTGACAGACCAAATCGAAAACAATTCTTGAATAAACTTGGTGTACAATTAGCACGAAATTAGGCTAATTAATATAGTGCAAATATTGACTATATATACGCCAGAGGGAGATGAATTGCCAGCAAAAAGGTTCAAATCTGGAAGGTGCCACTAGTGTCCAAGGATTAAAGATCGAAAATATGCTGCGTTAAGTGTAATAAGCCGGTATGCACCGATCATAGACTTGATATTTGCTTTTCTTGTAAAAAATGATAGTTTAGGGTATAAAAGAAGCATTACTATATGTAAATTTCAAAACGATTAAAAATTAAAATTTGTATGTAATAATGTGTTTTATATAATAAGGTAATAAGTTACCCCATGTATGTGTTTATAAGTTTATAGTTGCAATGTTTATATATGTATGTGTTCTAGGGTTAATAAACATTTCATTATTAAAGACAAACTTCCTATAAATTAACAGCTTCTTGATTCATACGCGAGACGTCAACTTGAGTTCGCAAATGTATTTTCTTTTGAACATGTCACGAAGGCGGAGGTGGATGTATTGTCAACATTCACTTCTCTATCTAGTGAAGTGATTGGATCGGATGGATTGGGGCTCAATCTTTGGAAGTACTGTTTTGAACCATTTATTAAGCATATAGCCCCAATATTTAATAGTTATAGTATTGAATCTCGTTACCAAAGAAGAAAATAGTTGAGTTCCTTAACGATTTACGACCGATCAGCATACTGCCCTATCTAAGTAAAGTCTTTGTAAAGATTTTAGAGCGCCAATTGTGTCGGTATATTTCATCAGTATCACATTAGACCATTTCACAGTTGTGCTACTGCCCTAACTGCCGTTGTTGATGGCATCGTCAAAGAGACGGGGAATGACAATGTTACTGTGTTTTATTAGACCACAGCAGAGCATTGGACACTGTGTGTCATCAAGTTTTAACGCAAATTTATTATCTCTTGGTGTGGGTGGACGACCACTTGAGCTGTTAAGATCGTATATTACGGAAAAAACCCAGTGTATGATGTTCTAAAGGTGCGTTTACGTTGGAGCAGCGCATATGCAGGTGTTTATATTGGAACGAGAGCTACGATAAACGATAAGAGCAGCAATGAGAGCGGCAATAAGAGCTGCGCAAAATTCATTTCTATGATGCTGTTTATACTAGAGCGTTGATAATAGTGACGATCTCTGCTTTGTAGGTGACGTTTCATTTAATATTATAATATAATAAATACCAAACGGTATACGTTTGGAGAATTTCATCACCTTTATAAACACTTAAGGCAACTTGTCCCCCCTATTATCATAGCTGATTTGAACCCTTTCCACTTCTCCCTAATCTATTGAAACTTTATAGAAGACAATAAATTGATACATACACGAAGAACTGTTGTATGTGCTTTTGAAATACTGTATACTAAGTGGAGAATTCTACGAACAGCGATACAAACATCTACAGATGTAGCTGATGATATTACTAAGTGTACCTGTTTGCTACATAATATTGTCACCCCAAGTAATACTGGAAGACCAAAAGAATCTGCTGAAAATATTTAAAACGTATCTTTGTCGCAATCCAATTTAAATACTAGTACTATTAGACATATAGAATTATAAATTTTTCTGTTTACATTTCCTATTATTGCCGATCACACCTGATAATAGCAAAGAAAATAGGGAATACAATTAGCGCGCTCTTATCGTTAGTCGGCTGTCAAGCGTGTGACAAGGCGTCGCTCTAATATAAGCACCTGCATATAAAACTATGACAACAATTTCGTTGTTTTGCTAGTATCGTTGCTAGTACAATCCCAGACAAAAGGTATACACTGCGGAGTTTCTCAAGGGCAATTTAGTTTCCGTTACTATTTAGTCTTTATTGCCATCTATATCCTGACGACACCCAAGAATACCTATCTTTTCATCCATCAAACGTCGTGAACGCCGAGAAAAAACACTTAATACGGTGCTTTCCCGTATTGCAAGCTATTCTGGTTTGCTTCTGGATTGCAACTTGAATTTGAATCCAATGATATGCCAAGGTGTTGTGTTTGGACCTAAAGCGGCCAGGAAAACTGTAAAAATAATATCAGTATTGAAATTGGTGGCACGGCACTTGCCCCTTAAACACGGCGTTCAATGCTTCAAGGCGTTTTGGATCGAGATTACAGACGAATGCTGTGCGAGTCGCTGGTGCTCAGCAATCTAAATTTTGCCAACGTATTTTATGACAGGTTTCTAGAGCGAATGATTGTTCTGTCTTCAAGAAAATCAAGAACTGTTGTTTCCGTTTAATATATGGTATGTTCTTTTATCGGATCCTGAAGAGTGGCGCCACGGTGTACCTGTATGAACGCTTACAACTTAGAAGAGAGGCTAATCAGGTTAGTATCTACAGCCATAACTTTCTCAGTATTACAAATCATAATTTTCAGTTATTCAAACGCAGTTTTTTATACAGTGTGGTGAATTGTCTAAACTCGCTGATTTCGAGGTGTGGTTTTATGATGAGTGATCGGTTTGTGCGAGAGCAAGTGATTCTATGCGCAATTGAAATTATAAACAATTATAGATAATAGCAACATTTTTCGTTGTGTCTCGGATTTCATTTATTTTGTTTTGATTTTGCTAGTTTTGTTTGCAATATCTTGTCCAGATTAACTTAACCTTGTTGTTACATACACAGGGACTTTGGCACAACACAGCATCTAATTGTAAGTCATAACTCATAACAACCCTGAACATAGGGAAAAGTACCGTTTTGTTTTGAATAACTTATTTTGTTAATTAATTTAATTACTTAGGATTAATTAAAAAATTCATATAATTACAAACTTTTGTTTATGTAATATTACGGTTTTCAAATCAATAAATGATTATTATTAAATGTCAAGTTAAATGTCAACAAAATGACAAAGTCGTCCGACATAATAAGGACAACCTTTTCACTATTTAAAAGAATCCAAAACAACTTAAAAAAATCAGATTAATTTCAATATATCTTACGTGAAATCGTTCTCCATTCTGATTCGTTGAATTATCACCGTTATGATCACCACTATCAATACCGCTATCTTCCATCGTTTACATACTTTTTTGGTTTAATTTTCAGATTATTAACGTTTTTTCAGTTTACATTCACTTTTTGTAATTATCTTTATGGTTGTCATCACAAATCTAATGAGTTGTTTGTTTAGTAAATTTTACCACATAGGAAGTACTAAAAATCAACTACCAACTTGTACGTTTAGGGGGAAACCTGCGCCAGGTCGAAAACTGGCGAATGTCGGCCATCTTTACGTTCACAAAAATCAATATCAAAACTCCGCTGACACCATTACCTCCAAAATTGTGTTTGGGGGACGTAATCAAATTGAGGATTATGTTATCTTTGTAGAAATAAAAAGAAATGTTTACTTTTTTAACACCCATTTTATTTGGAATTATTTTTATAATTCATAATAACACAAGACTTTCTCGTATTTTAACCTTTCAATCAAGTTGCTAAGGTTACTAATAAACATCATAGTTAGCAAATCGAAATGACAACTTATTGAATAAAATTTATAAAATTTACATTTACTTATTATATTTTGTGTGGGTACTTAAAAAGAACTACAACAAAGAAAAGGCGAAAAATTAAAGATGCCGCCAACACCAAACGCAAAGAAGATCGTCGCATCAACACCTAAAGTAAGAAATAAAACTACATTTTTATACTTTTTAAGTATACTATTAACTGTAGCACTTTGATTACTTTTAATAACTATATCGCCACAGACACTGCACAAATCAAAGAAGAAAAGTATAACAAATATTTCAAAAGTGAAGAACACTTTAATACTTACTCACTTTTAAATTTTTTCATTTTTTTATTTTTCACTCTATCTTTCTTCAATTTTACCCATTAGCTTGCAACAATACCTTGGCTAAAACACGTACGTATTCTTACTAGTTAGATTTAGATTGAATTCTGGTAATTTCTTATTTAACACCACAATTACATCTTTTTTAAATACAGTGGATACCGCTTAATCGGTACACATCGGGACCGAGGCGTTTTGTCCCAATTAAGCGGTTGTCCCAATAAAGCTACGTATAAATTAAAACAAAAAATAATTTCCTAAAGTATTTTAATAAAATGAACGTAAATATGCAGCATACAAAACAAACTACAGGTGGTCCATTTAACGCGAGACAAGCGACTATCTCGAAAACGGTTCATTTTACATAAAAATGAATCAAATGAAAGTTGTTCTGTGCGAAGGGGGAAACCATATGACGATACAATTTTTTGACCTCCACCTTATTTTCAGGGTTATATGAAGTTCACGACCAATTCTTTAAATGGCACCCTATATATTTTTTTGAAAAAAAAATTTGGTTTTGCCGGTACAACGGCAAAACATCTTTTGAAAAGAATTGCAACTTCTTCAGAAACAATTAACCAACGTTTATAATTTATTATTTATTTATTAATTTATTATTTTTAAACATTTTCCTACCCGCTTCGATACAATGTCTTTAGTTTAGGATACGATTTAAGAATGCTGAACAACAAAAAAAATCCAGAAGAGGTACATCGGGTGACCTGGCTCGTCGGAAATACCTTTGGAAAGAGGTCTAAAAGGTTTCGACATTTTCCCATAAAAAACAAGAGTTCGTGGAACTGCTTATGTCGGCATTTTCAGAATATCGCTTTCAAAGACTTAATTGGTTGAATTGTTTTAAAATGTAACAGGTAAAACTAAATTTGCATAAAAACTGCTTCGCAACAAATTCTGAATTCATTCCATCGTTTTACATTAAGGCACTGTTTAAACTAAGTCATTAAATCATGGATACTCTAAGTGTGGCAGAAAAAGTCGAAATGATTTTTATTTATGGAAAAAGTGGCAGAAAAGTTGCTGATAGTATAGCTTTGCATCGAGAACGTTTTCCTGATCGAAATACGCCTTCGAGAAGTACATTTTACAAAGTTGTGAATGATTTTACTAATACTGGAAATGTGGAACCAAGAAAAAAATCTCAGCGAGCAACTGTAACTACGGAAGAAAAGGAAATTGCGGTATTAGCTAGCGTTGAGGTAAATCCTCAAGTTAGCACTCGACGACTTGCAATTGACGCCGGAATATCGAAGACCAGCATTTTAAGAATGTTAAAGCACAAGAAGTATCACCCATACCACATTTCATTGCATCAACAGCTTTATGGAGGTGATTTTGAAAATCGATTAATATTTTGTCAATGGGCATAAGAACGAATGTGGTTGGACGTCAATTTCTTTGGTAACATGCTATTCTCGGATGAGTCTACTTTTACAAACAAAGGACAAGTCAATAGACATAACATGCGCTATTGGTGCATTGAAAATCCGAGATGGTTGCGTGATGTAGAACATCAACGACCTTGGTCGGTTAATGTTTGGTGTGGTAAATTGATCAGTCCATACTTTATTGATGGTACGCTGAATGGGGAGAAGTGCCGAAATTTTTTAGATGACGTCTTACCAACGTTACTTGTAGATTTGAGCAGGGCAGAAAGACAAAATATGTGGCTACAAAATGATGGGTGTCCAGCACATTTTTCACATATTGCACGTGAAGCTTTAGATCGGGATTATGCTGGGCGATGGATTGGAAGAGGAGGTCCAAATTCCTGGCCTGCCAGATCACCTGATTTAACACCGCTAGATTTTTTTTTGGGCGTCCTTAAGGATAATGTTTATCGCGAAGTACCGACTACGCCAGAAAACATGAAAGAACGGATAAGAAATGCATGCAGAAATAGTAGCCAAGAAAACCTTTTAAGATATAAAGAAACTTTTAATAGAAGGGTTCATAAATGTATTGAAGTGGGTGGGGAAATATTTGAACATTTATTATAAATTTTATACTTGTTGTTGATTAATAGTATAGTTTAATCATTTCTTTATAAATAAACAATATTTAAAACTATTTGAATAAAAAAATTATTTAGATTTTGTCTACAAAAGATGTTTCGCCGTCGTACTGGCAAACCACACGGTATTTTTTTTTTAATTATTTTACTTTTATCCATAGATTCAGATTTTGCAATCAAAAACATAGGGTGCCATTTAAAAAATTGGTCATGACCTTCATATGACATTGAAAATAAGGTCAAGGTCAAAAATGTTATCGTCATACGGTTTAAACAACTTTCATTTGATTCATTTTTATGTAAATGTACCGTTTTCTAGATAATCGCTTGTCTCAAGTTAAATGGACCATCTTGTATATAAAATGACTATTTTAAGTTAAAATAATAATAATAGAGTATAAACACTAATGAAAACAATTAAGTATTCATTTTTTTAAAAAGTTATTTTGTGTTGTCTGCTTTTTACGATTTTGCACTTCTACGAAATCCGCACATATACTCAGTGCAGACATAGGTCTATTACGTTCTTGCATAAAATAACGTTGTAACTCAACTATACATCTTTTTGCTTGCTTGTTCGTTACAGGAATATGTGGAAAATCATCAACATCGTCATCGCTTTCGTCGTCACCTGTTAAATTCTTTGATTTCATAGCATCAACAATAGCATCCACTGAATCTTCATATTCTACATGAAATATTGTTGAAAATTTTCGCCATTTATAACAGATTTTTACAACACACCATTATTCTTGTCAACGGTTAAGGTTTCTGGTAGCCCTAAACCTTTAAAACCGCATACTGTAAAGCAGTTTGTATTATGCTCGTTTTTACCCCTCACCAACTGTCAGCGGTAAACTGTATTGCCTGCAGAATGGAAATTTTACCACTTATCTCTCTAGGGTTCTACTATGCAGTTGCCCAATTTTTCTGTATATAAATTTTTATTACCCCCATATCCATTGATGATGTCGTATTAGGTGGGAGAAATTCCAAATTTATATACTTTAAATTAATATGAGGCTGAGCCGTAGAATTGTCAAGAAGCAATACAATTTTTCTTTCTTTATTTTCCAATTCTTTATCCCACTTCAAAAGAACTCTTCGAGAAATTTCGAAAGGCATCCACGCATTTTTGTTCCAGTGGCAAATCTTCTATTCTTAAGTCCTTAAAACATCGAGGTTTATTACTTTTTCCTATAACGACCAATTTTCGTTTGTCAGTTGCAGACCTATTGCTACAGCATATAATAGTAATCCAGTCCAATGTCTTTTTCTATCCGGACAGTGCAATATGCGAATAACACACGAATTCGTCTGGTGTAGCTCGATAAAAAATCTGGTTTGGTCAGCTATTTTAGCACTTTTGATTATTTTGTATATTTGGTTGTTATATTAATATTATGTATTCTCCATGACGATTTCATAACATAGATATATAAATAAACAAACTCGACAGACATGCATACAGGTGGAACAGCCAAACCGCACAATTTAAAACTATTAAAAAAGTATTACAAAACATACATTTAATTTTTTTTTGCAACAAATGTTAAGACAAAAGATGAAATATTATACATATAGAAGCAGAAAAAAAATCTCTTTTTGAATATTGAAGACAAATACAAATTTACGAGGTATGTCCACGTTTGATTGCAGTTAAAACCTTTAGCATCTACACGCAAGTAATAAACATCGAAATGCTTCTTCTCCATCCAGATTATAGGAATACCAAAGTCTAATCCAGAACGTTCTCCTTTTTTCCACAACCGTAAAGACTCAACACAGGACTTACAAACTTTATGAGGAACGCATGATTTATCTAGTTTGTCCATTTTAAAATCGAAATATTCAGTATAAGTCTCCTCGACAAAGTCTGTGATATTTCCTTTTTGCGTTTTTGTTATATAAACACCGCAAATATAACAACTACTATATTTACACTTTCTTTGTGACGAACTCATGTTTTAAAAAACAAGACAAATATATTAGAATGGACATTCAGTAATTGAAACAACATATTTACACATGACAACTTATCCAGATTCACGTGTAAGTACTTCAATATTGTCAAATAACTGAGATCTCAGCTGTTCTGCGGAGCAAGAGGTCTGAGAGTGGGGATCACGCCATGTTTGTATGCGCGAAAAAGTTGCGCAGAAGTCTAATCATGACTGGGAAAATAAATTTTATTACTAACAAGCCGATAATTGTTCAAAATATAAGATATGTAAAAATCATAAAAAACTTTCATGAATATATTCGTAATCTGGGCACTTGAAACCATAAAAATTTGCAGACATCCAGGGCAACAAAAAAAATTTTTTTTGTTGTAGAGCTGTGTAATTTATGGATTAGTGATGAAGCTCATTTCGACCTCGTCGGATGTGTTAATAAACATAACTTTAGCTATTGGGCTGCGGAAAAACCTCCCCAACTTCACGAACTACATCTCCATTCGGCCAAAGTTACTGTTTGGTGTGCGATGTCTTCGAATAGCATAATTGACCCATACTTCTTTGAGAATGATGATGGCCATGCAGTTATCATAACATCAGCACTATATGTTCGAATGCTGGAAACATCTTTTATCCTATAAGTCTAGGAATGAGAATACTCATTTTCAACAAGATGGAGCAACTTGTCACACAGCAAGGGTTACATTGAACTGTCTTAGAGACTTTTTCCCGAACCGCCTCATTAGTAAAAATGGGTGTATTTATTGGCATTCACGATCACCAGGTGTAGGAGGTGCGCAACAATACAAGACTTAAAAGTGAGGATTCAAGATA